GCTGAGAAGTCCCAGTCTCTTTAGCCTCTCTTCATATGGGACCTGTTCCCAACCCCTGATCATTTTAGTTGCCCTCCCCTCTCCCAGCTCCTCTCTTCCCCTCTCCCACCTCCTTTTCCCAGTCTCCCCCAGTTTTGTTCAATAAAGACAGATTCCATTTTTGGACACAATTGTCCTTTATTTTGTACATCAAGAAAAGGGGCTAGGGAAGGGTAAGTGGAAGGAGGTGAGGGAGGAATGGGGCACGAGCCCCCGATGGGGAGGACTGGGCTGGCTCTGCGGGCTTCTGGGGGTGGAAGCTCTCCTGCAGCCCCTCAATTGCCCCCCTCTCCCCAGATGGCAGCCTGCTGCAAGTGCAGCCGGTCTGATGGCCAAGTGCTGTGATGTGCCCAGTGTGGGCACTCCGGGCACTCCAAGCCAGGACTGGTTTTCAAGCGGGGCACCTACGAGAACTGTCTGTCTGGGGTGGGGGTCGGGACCCTTTAAGCACAGCCCTCGGCTAGCCTGAGACAGCATCTCCACGCTCTAAGTCCTCCTCTGATGCCCTGCCGGCACTGCTTCCGGCCATCCTTAAGCCCTGTTCAGGGTCCACTTAATGTGGACATGCTAGTTCGAATTAGCAAAACGCTAATTCGAACTAGCTTTTAGTTCTAGACGCGTTAGTTCGAATTAGCTTAGTTCGAATTAACTAATTCGGACTAAGTTAGTTCGAATTAGCACTGTAATGTAGACATACCCTTTTTTTCTTTCTTTCTTTCTTTTTTCTCCACCCCCTGCCCTGATTCCTACACCCATTACCTCCTACCCTAAGACCCCTGTACACTCAAGCTTCTGCCCTAACCCCTATGCTTACCTCACATCTCCACCTCCCTGCCTTGAGGTTCCCGAGCAACACCTGGTAAATCTTCTAGTAATAATAGAAAGTGAACACTGCACACGTCGTATTCTGGGTGCTCATGGAATTCCCTCTACTTGAAAATGTAGAAGAAACTTCCAAATATTTAGGATTTATTGAAATTGGCGTTGTCTTCTTGGTTAGTGCTGTGAATAAAACAGCAAGGTTTTTTTAAAATCTACTTAGTTTGTTTTGCATGAATCCCTTGACAGCAATATTTTGGACTAGATCACTTGTGTTTGCAAGGGGTGTTCTCTTCTCCAAACAAAAGAAAAACTCCCCATTTCTGATATAGAATGGGGAGGGGACAGCTGGTTTCCTAAAGCAGGCCAACTAACCCGTTCAGTCTGTTGCAGTTATTTATTTTTCTAATTTTCATGGGATAGAAATGTCCAAGACAATTTCTGACCAGAGCTATATGGAGGAAGAAAAGGAGGAAGTGTTCATGGACTCAGTCCTGGGTGGGAGCGTGAGCTTTTATGCAGCCAGATTCTGCCTGTCTAGACTCAGAGCTCCAAAGCTCCAGGGAAGTGACCTTGCAAACTTCCTCTCCCTGGCCCACAGTTGTGTAACTTTTATCCTGTGGCTCAGGTCCACATGTGGCAGATCCAGGGTCAATATGTCTGGATTTCTGATGGGGCAAAGGATGTGGTGAGGGTTGGGGAAGGGGGGAAGGGCAGGACCTCATTGTGAGACCAGGGGATGTCGGTGCTGAGGTAAGGGGGTTGGGTGAGGGATGTTAGATGTTGGTGAATTGAATAGTCGAGTCACCTCATTAATTCTGATTGGTTAGTTGTCTATTCTTAGTGCCCGGGGGCGGGGCCGGCAGTCAGTGCCCTCCAGCCTCATGCCCGAGGAGCCCCCTACGCGTGGCTGCCTCTTCCTTGTGGTGCCAGGCAGGAGCTTGTCTGGGAGAGGAGCCAGTTGAAAAACCAGCTCCCCTCTCAGACTGGCTGCCTCTCGCCCTGTGTTGCTGCCTCTGATAAAGAGGCAGCATTCTGAGGTGGCAGCAGCCCCTGTCTGAGCTCCCGGACCCAGCACAAGTTGGACGTGAGCTGGGCTGTCGGCCTAGAGCCACAAGCAGGGGTATGTCCTGGACCCAGCGCAAGCTGGGAGTTAGCCGAGCTCTGGCCAGCCTGCTAAACAATGCCCTGGTTGCTTATCGGTTTATTGGTTAATCGACTGCGCTACCACATCCCTAGTTTGAGTGTGAGGCGCTGAGGGCAGGGGGTTGGGTGTGGTTGGGGGGAGGTGCAGGGGTGGGGGTAGATTGGGGCTGGGTTCAGAGCAGTGAGTGGAGGGGCCAAGGGGTAGAGGAATTAGGGCAGGGGGACCAGGGCTGGAGGGGTGGGAGTGCTTGGGGGTGGTGAGGCCTGTGGTTGGGATGGAGGAGCCAAGGTAGGAGGTGGGGTGGTGTAGGTCTCAGGGCAGGGGCTGTGGGGCCCAGAGCAGGGAGATCAGTGCAGGGGGCTGGAAGGTCTGGAGGGGGCCGACTGGGGCCTGGCACAGTGTGGAAGCTGCAGTTGGTCCATGAGGGGAGGTTGTGCCTGGCCCTGGCCCTGTCCAGGTGCTGTGGGCCTGTTTCCTGAGCCCAGACTATGAGGGGCTGAGGGCAGAAGGAGGGCTGTGCAGAGCACCCCTGTACATACCAGGCTTAGCTGCTGGGCGGATCACCTTTCCCAGCCTGTACTTAGGATGGGGTGAGGAGCTATGGGGTTGGGCCCATCTGCTATCCCTAGCCCCAGTGTCACTGGTGGGGGCAGGGCGAGAGCCAGGGTTGGGACACATTCCCTGATGCTGGAGCCGGGGTTGAGCCGCCTGACTTAGGGGGCTGGGCTTGGGGCCGGGCTGGGGCCTGGGAGATTGCAGGGGAGGGGGCACTTACCTGCTCTTCCTGCTGCTGCTCCCTCAGGGGTCGCTCTGCAGTTTTGCTCTCCCCTGCTCTCACTGCCCCCAGCAGTGCGTCTGCAGCCTGGTGCGCTCGTCTCTGTGCCCCTCCCATTCCATGCTCTGGAAACCCATTCCATTCCAGGCATCTCCCCATGTCCAGCTGCAACCAAACCCCGCCCTAGGGGGCGGGAGAGAGCTCCTGGCGGCTGGTCCAGAGCTCACCTTCCTTCGTGTCTTTTACACCAAGGCCCTGATGCAGCCAAGCACTTCAGCCTGGCCTGAGCTGCCCACCACTGAAGATTAAGCTGAGAGCTAGCTCTGATTTGGTGTCAGACCCCAGCACCGAATGAGTTTTTCCTCCTCCTGCTAAAATAAATAGCAGGATTTGGTGCACTAGGACCTAGTCACCCTGGCTGGGGACTGGTTCAGGAACACCAGATCGGAGTGGTCTCATGGCTGCCATCACTGATGCATCAGCCCTACTCTGGGCTTCTAACCGCCTCTGGTGGGGTCTGTTCCTGCCATGCAGTGCTGAGTGCTATAGGCAGGCCTTGCCTCTGGCTGCTCTGGAGAGATGCTTCCAGCATCCCCTCTGATCCAGGGACACCCTTGGAGGCCCCGCTGGAACCTCCTGACTCACTGTAATCTTCTACTCTTTATCGTTGGATCTTGAATCACAGGCCTCAAATGGGAGTCCCAGTCACATCTCTGTGGCCTTCAAGCCCCACATCTGCTACCTCACCTCAGGGTTCCAGATTCCATGGAACTGGGTGGCTGGAGTCCTTGAGTCCATGGGTCTGGGGCAGCCCGGCCCTACAGACTGTCCTGGGCCAGGAAACAGAGGGAAGCCGGAAGCCCAGGCTAACTGGTTCCTTGGAATGGCCACGAGACCTTCTCCAACGTGGAGCAAGAGTAGGGGCTGGAAACAATGTCAGGTCCCTGCAGGAGGACGGAGGCTGGTTTCTCAGCACAGGACTCTTGGGGAACCACACAAGCCTGGGTGGGCAGAGATCTGTGCACTGGAGTGGAGTTTGCTGAGCAACCCCACATCCTCCTGAGTGGAGCCGTCATTTCGAATTAGCCCCTCTCCAAGGGCTGGAGTTGGATTCTCCAACAGGCCACCATCTAAGAGGATACCCACTTTGAGTAACCTTCAGTGAGGCCCTCAGGTGGCTGCCCCAGGATCGGAGGTGGCAGAGGTGGCTGCTTGCGACTTAATACACGGACATTTTAACCGGGCCAGGGTCCAAGCAACGGGCTTCAAACCAGAACTAAGCCCCACCAATTCATAGAATCATAGGGCTGGAAGAGACCTCAAGTCCAGCCCCCTGCCCAAGGACCAATCCCATCTTCATGTCAGCAGTGGGGAGGAACCTATGGCCCACGGGCCGCATACAGTTCATCAGGGTTACTCAGCGAAGGGCTGCCTGAGGGCTGGTTTTGCTGAGTGTCCACAGGCACGTCCCAGACATCCGTTACCTCCCAGACATCAGAGGTCCCCCTTTCCAGGCCAATGGGAGCAGGAGAAATTGTTACGGGCCTGGCCGCTGTTTCCTGCAGCTCCCATTGGCCAGGAATGACACACAATGACCCCGGGGAGCAGAAGGGCTCTCTGCCTGCAGACGTCCAGGAAAAAAACCCACCCGGAGTCTAGCCCTGAACCGCATGCGGCCGGCGCCCCGGTGGATCCCCATCACTGGTCAGGTGAAGGGCGACTGTTTTGGACCATCCCTGTGATGTGGCTTCATGGTCTACATGAGGCCCAGGCATTGTGAGAACCATAGCTCTGCTCCCAGACAGCCTGCACCTCCAGGCCGGATGCTGGGCCCTGGGCAGGCCCCACACGGACAGGGGGGTGGTTGACTGAGGAAGCCATTGGAGTTTCAGTGGGTGATCACACCCTACCCCATTCCACACCCCTACAGCGCTGTCTCATCACACCCTACCCCATTCCACACCCCTACAGCGCTGTCTCATCACACCCTACCCCATTCCACACCCCTACAGCGCTGTCTCATCACACCCTACCCCATTCCACACCCCTACAGCGCTGTCTCATCACACCCTACCCCATTCCACACCCCTACAGCGCTGTCTCATCACACCCTACCCCATTCCACACCCCTACAGCGCTGTCTCATCACACCCTACCCCATTCCACACCCCTACAGCGCTGTCTCATCACACCCTACCCCATTCCACACCCCTACAGCGCTGTCTCATCACACCCTACCCCATTCCACACCCCTACAGCGCTGTCTCATCACACCCTACCCCATTCCACACCCCTACAGCGCTGTCTCATCACACCCTACCCCATTCCACACCCCTACAGCGCTGTCTCATCACACCCTACCCCATTCCACACCCCTATCCACTGTCCAGTCTGGGGCCTGGCACCTCCCAGTGAGGCACCTCACAAACCCAGGGATGGCAGAGCCGTGGGCCCCTCATGTGGTTGCATCATGTGGTGGGTGCAACACAGGACCAGACAGACAGCGCTGTCTCATCACACCCTACCCCATTGCTACCATTTGGCAAGTATCACTGCTGAGAGCAGGGCTGGGTCCAGGAATCACTTGGCCAAGCCTGGTTGAGCCCAGGGGTCTGGCAGGGAGGCTCCGGGGTGGAGCTGTTCCTCTCTGAGGCCAGCGGCACGTGGGCGGGACAGTTGGCTTTGGAGGTGGGATCAGAGCTGGGCACAAAGCCCTGGAGACCAGATTGAGGATCTTAGCCCCAGAGCAGGGACTGTTGGGCGGGCACTGCATCTGATGCCTCAACAAGCAGGGAGCAGCTCCAGAGCCGGGAGGGGCTTCCAGACCCATTTAGCCCCCAGACTCCCAGCCAAGCCAAGCCAAGGAGAGGAGAGGAGAGAAGCCGGGAGCGCCAGTCTGGGGAGAGACCCAGCCACTGTGGCCAGCCAGCTACGGAGCAGGGAAACAGCCCTGGATAACACAGGAAAGGGGACGTGAGAGCCATCAGCGAGAAACGGTTGGGCACACAGAGCTACCCAGTAATTGCCAGCACCTGAGGATCAAACTCATCAAACGTTGGGGGAAATTATCCACAGAGCTACCGGTACGTTTGCTGCTGGAAGTAAATCAGTTGGCGTGTGGATGTGCGGGGTGGGGATTAGATGATCAACCTGAAAGGCAATTGGAACTCTTTACGACTTCCGATAAGAAAGCACCAAACGAGGTCCAGCCAGCTCAATTGGGTCTTTACTGAAATGGGAAAATATCGTGTTTGTCAGTACTGTCTAAATTTGGGTGGTTTGGCAACAGAGAATCAAACATTTTCTGGTGGAAACAGAAAACGTCCAATAAAAATTCCCTCTATACAAAGGGGAAAAAAAGTCAGCAATAGATAGATAGATAGATAGATAGATAGATAGATAGATAGATAATACCTCCCTATAGGTTACATCTATCTGATATATTTAAACAAAAATTTAAAAAATGAACCCCAACAAGTTGGGGGGGAAGCCCAATGAGCTTTTGAGTCTGTATGTATTTTCGCTGTTTTCAGAAGACTCCCATTCTACCTGACATTGCTGGTGTAATCTCGTTGCTTTTGGAGTTCTAGTGTTTTCGTTTCCTGCCCCAGTATTTCCTCTGTGGCCTGTCAGAGGTGCCAGACCCTCTGTGCTCCATGGGTGGGCTTAGGCTGTAATTTGTTCCTGTCTTTCATGCATTTGGGTCCAGATCCGCACCTGGTGTAAAGTGACTCAGTCATTCTGAGTGTAGGGAGTGATGCCAATTCACACCAGGGCGATAACGCACCCGGGAAGTCTCCGTGTCAGCGGTGATTGTAGTCCTGTTCATTCTTCAGAGCCACCAGCCAAGTGCACCGACCTTCTCTCTTTGGGTGTGTCTAAACTACATGCCTCCGTCGATGGGGGCATGTAGATTAGACAGATAGGCAAAGGGAAATGAAGCCATGATTTAAATAATCGCGGCTTCATTTCCCTTTGCCAAACAAACAAATCTACATGGCTCCATCGATGGAGCCATGTAGATTTGTTTGTTTGGCAAAGGGAAATGAAGCCGCGATTTAAATAACCGCGGCTTCATTTACATTTACATGGCTGCCGTGCTGAGCCGACAAACAGCTGATCAGCTGTTTGTCGGCTCAGCACGGCAGCCATGTAAATGTAAATGAAGCCGCGGTTATTTAAATCGCGGCTTCATTTCCCTTTGCCAAACAAACAAATCTACATGGCTCCATCGATGGAGCCATGTAGCTTAGACGTACCCTTTGTGTCCTTCACCTACATCTCTGGTTTTCCTTCACTAAGAGTCTGGTGGCCAGCACTCCGGGGCACCTGCCCCTCCTAGTCCATGGAAGCGACAGACACTGGGCACCTTAGACAGTGGGACCAGCAGGGCTATTTTGTCTGATACGGGGCCTGACTCTGCCTGTTTTCTTCCCTCCGCAGCCTCCACACGATGTGGCGAGGAAAGAAATGTCCAACCACAGCACCATAGCTGAGTTCCTGCTCCTGGGCTTCTCTGACATCCGGGAGCTGCAGATTTTGCACTTTGTGGTGTTTCTAGTGATGTACCTGGCAGTCCTGATGGGGAATCTTCTCGTCATCTCAGCCATGGTCTTTGAGCACCGCCTGCACACCCCCATGTACTTCTTCCTTGGCAACCTGGCCGTCTTCGACCTGGGCTCCGTCTCTGTCATCATCCCCAAATCCATAGCCAACTCCCTTCGGAACACCAGAGTGATTTCTTACTCGGGATGTGTCGCCCAAGTCCTTCTGTTCATGTTTCTTTGTTCTGCTGGTCTCGGCATATTGACCGTCATGGCCTACGACCGGTACGTGGCCATCTGCCACCCACTGCACTACAAGCAAGTGATGAACCGGAGAGCCTGTGTCCACATGGCTGCCAGTGCCTGGGTCAGTAGTTTGCTCTACTCTGTCCTGCACACCGGGAGCACGTTTGCCATCTCCTTCTGTGGTGGCCACATGGTGGATCAGTTCTTCTGTGACATCCCCCAGCTGCTCAAGCTGGCCTGCCCTGACTCTGACAGCGGTGAAATTGGGGTAATTGTCTTTAGTGCCTGCTTAGTCTTCAGCTGCTTGGTCTTCATCATTGTGTCGTATGTTCAGATCTTCAGAGCGGTGCTGAGAATCCCCTCGGAGCAGGGCCGGCACAAAGCCTTCTCCACCTGCCTCCCCCACCTCATTCTCGTGTCATTGCAAATTTCCACTGGTGTCTTCGCCTACCTGAAACCCCCCTCCAGCTCCACATCCCACCTGGACCTCGCGGTGCTCGTTTTCTATTCCGTGGTGCCTCCCGTGCTGAACCCCGTCATCTACAGCATGAGGAACAAGGAGCTCCAAGCTGCCCTGTGGAAATTGACTGGACAGAGGTTATTGACTTCAAATAAAAAGTCCCTCTTTCACATCTGATTTTAATTATCTTATTTGTGTCTTTCCCAATAAAGCAGCTGATGACATCAATGTCTGTCTGATAACATGGTTGGCGTTCTCTTTATGCACAAAGGGGAATTTGCCCTAGCAAAAATGGAAACACCATTGAAACCCATGGAGGTACAGGAAATTTAGATCACTATGAATAATACAAGTATTTCTCTCTCTCTCTCTCTCTCCCCCCCTATATCTCAGGGTGTGTCTAGCCAACAAGGCTTAACTAGAAATAAGCTATGCAAATTGAACACTGTTAATTGTGCATCTTATTTCGAAATAGCTTATTTTGAAATTGGAAGCCTCTACACAGCACTTATTTCGAAATCGAGCACTCTTCCTCTGACTTCCCTTACTCCTCGTGCAATGAGGGTTACAAGAGTTGCAGTAAGAAGTCCTTCAGTTTGACAGGGTATGTCTACACTACAGTGCTATTTCGAATTAACTTAATTTGAAATAGTTAATTTGAATTAAGTTAAATCAAAATAATGCATCTGTGACGGGCCGAGAATGGCCCGCACTGAGAAGCCCAAGGGGGGCAGGGAGAGATGGGGTCCTCCGCCGCGGCACCCGGCTGGGGGGGGGCGGGGCACGGCAGGAGGGCGCCGCAGAGGGCCACTCCGGCCG